CTAATACTATTAGAATTACAAAACTCATTAAATCCAAGATTTTCAAATTCAGTGCCATGATCACTCCTAACACTAGTTATAGAGTAACCTTTTTCATTTTGGATTATTTTTGAAAATGTGATGAAATGTTCTAATGCTTCATCTTTAGTACTTAAAAATAGAACCCAGTATATCTAGAATAGTCATCTATCAAGACAAATGCATATTGTTTTCCACCCAAGCTAGTAGTCCTAGTTGGCCCAAAAAGATCCATATGGATCAATTGTAATACTCTACTAGTTGATACGTCATTAATGGATTTAAAAGAAACTCGTTTTTGTTTTCCTTTAGCACAAGCATCACAGATTTTATCATTATCAAATTTAAGCTTAGGCAACCCTCGAACTAAATCACCTTGAATTAGCCGTTGCAAAACACTCATACTAGCATGTCCTAGTCTCCTATTCCATAACCAACTATCATGTTCATCCTTAGCAACTAGGCACAAATTAGTCATATCAATAGAATCTAAATGCACCATGTATATGTTTCCTATTCTATGACCAACAAGCATAATCTGATTAGATGCAATGTCAATGACTTTACAACCATTAATATCAAACATGACATTGAACCCCTTATCACAAAATTGACTAATACTCAATAGATTATGCTTTAATTCATTCACATATAAAACATTCTTAATTTGTATGGAAGAGGTATTACCAATAGTACCAATACCTTCAATGTGACCTTTTGAATCATCACCAAAAGTCACTTCTCCTCCATTTTTGGCATTAAGCTCAATGAACCGGTTTTTGTCTCCGGTCATGTGTCTTGAGCATCCATTATCAAGGTACCATGAATTTGGATTTGTTTCACGTGCCTTGTACCAATGCTCATTTTCCTACAAACATAGATTAATTTCTAATTTTTGGTGCCCAAATTCTTTTGGGTCCATATTCATTAGTTTCCAAAATCCTAGTCCCCTTAGGTATCCATTTGTGTAGGATATCCTTATCTTTAGTAGTAATGAGCTCTTTAGGAACCCATATACTTCTAACGATTTTTCCATTAGAGGTTCTTTGGGGACCTCTATGATTGTAGTTTTTAAAACTTTTTCTAACAAAGTTGGATTTTGAATTTTCTCCATTTTCAAAACGTTTTGTTCCAACTTTATCAAAAGAAGCTTTAAGATCATCAATTTTCTTTTGATGATAACCAATGACCTTTGAAAGTAAATTTTGCAAATCCAAATTTTTCTTTTCAAACTCTTCTAGTTTGATTTGCAAATCTTTAATTTTACTTTCAAGATCGTTGTTGGTTTTGGATATGAGTTTATTTTCATTTTTCAATTTTGAAACATCATTTTTATATTTTAAAAACAATTTCTCATAATCCGAAGCTAACCCATTATATTCCTCTAATAGCTCATCATAGGATATATCATCAAAATCAGATGAGTTAGAGGTTACCTTAGAATCTTCCCGAATGCCATCAAGCACAAGTTTGCTACTTCTTGTTCCTCTTCATCGGAACCTTCTTCATCGCTCCATGTAGCCACATGAGCCTTGTGCTTATTCTTTGATTGACCCTTTCTCTTCAATTGTGGGCAATCATATTTGACATGCCCCGACTTTTTGCATTCATAGCAAATGATTGGGTCATTCTCTTTTGGTTCATTTTTGAATCCTTAATTTCGTTTGAATTTTCTTCCTCGGTAAGGTTTCATCATTTTTTGAACCGTTTAGCAAACAATGCCATTTCCTCGTCATCGTCATCTTCATCCGAATCACTCTCATCTTTTGTGGATTTGAGAGCAACTCCAATATTTTTCTTCTTCTCTTTCTCCTTTGGTGTCTCTTCAATCTTATCGAGGTCCACCTCATCTTCAAGCATCATTTTATGAGTGAGGAGTGAACAGATTAGCTCTTCAAGTGTTAAGGACGTTAGATCCTTAGACTCGATGATTGTCGTCTTCTTTGATTGCCAAGATTTTGGAAGGGAGTAAACTAACTTCCTCACAAGCTTTTCATTTGAAATGATCTATCCATATGATTTGAGACCATTGACAATCGTTGAGAATCTATCTGTCATAGCTTTGATATCTTCATTTGGTTTCATCCTGAAATTTTCATAGCTATGCGTTAGAATACTAATTTTAGATTTCTTTACCTCATCGGTACCTTCATGAGTGACTTGAAGTTTGTCCCATATTTCTTTGGCGGTTGTACAAGATGAAACTCTTTCGTATTCATCTGGTCCAAGAGCACAAAATATGATATGGATGGCTTTGGAGTTGAGCTGTAACATTTTTGTCTCTCCTTCACTCCATAATCTTGGATGAGTGAGAGGCTTGAAGTATCATTCTTCTACGACATTCCATGCTCCCATGTCACTTGCTTGAATGAAGTACATCATCCTATTTTTTCAATAGGCATAATTAGCCCCATTGAAGAAAGGGCTTGTTGACGGGCATCGAATCGAGACCAAAGTCAAAGTTTGAAGTAGAGGCCAATGATGACTTTGATTATCGATGTAACTATTCCCGAATCGACTCAAGAGGCGATTAAACCTTCAAATGAGTTAGGCTCTGATACCAATTGTTGAGTTAATCGATTGACGAATATGGCCAAGATGGGGTGAATTGGCAATTAAAATTTTGGTGGAAGCTTTTGCAGAAAATTGAAAGAAATTTGCACAGCGATTTAGAGTGGTTCGACATTCTCAACCAAAGTCTACGTTCACTACCTTAGCTATCCACACTAAGGATTTTCCACAAATTCACTAATTTGTCTTTCTTTTGAGGACAAAGAGTAACCTTACAAACCCTCAAGAATTATACCCCAAATTCTTGAGAACACTCTCTCTCAAAGAGAACAATACAAATTTGCAAACTTACAAGAAAATCCTCACAAGGTAGATTATTTGCACAATTCTAGAACAAAGAAAAGAACACTCAAAAATGAATACAATTGAGCACAATAAGTGTTCTTGAAATCAAAATGAATATTGAATGAAAAATATGCTTGAAATGCTCAAACTTGAGGTTTGATGCTTTCTCTTTGATTCTCTCTTGATTATAGTTACTTGATGTTTCTTGTTATTGAACAATGGCTTCTAAGCTTGCTTAAATACACCTTGAATCACTTCTGAACGTTGGGGATCATTAATGAAGATAATAAAGCCGTTTTAGTGTGAAATCAATTAATAAAACAGTTTGGAGCGTGAGGGGAATCGGTACCCCTCATAGGGAATCGGTTCCCTAAGTGTAAAATTCAAATATTTCGACCGTTGAACAGTGGGGGGAATCGGTTCCCTCCGAGCATACTGGAATTCTTGGAGCCAAACCATTCAGGGGGAACCGATCGGTACCCCCTTGGGGGGGAATCGGTTCCCTCTGAGCAATCTGGAATTTTTGGCTTTGAAACGGTTCGAAATACTTTGTAAAATTATTTTGAAATTGTTTTAAGATTAAAACTTAATTTTACACTTGAGTAAGGATTAAAAATGACTTTTGAAAGATTTAGAGTAATGTTTTGATATTTGAATAATTATATCCAATATACTTAGAAAATCTTTTTGGAAAATCTTAAAATTCATTTAACTTAATTTGTTATATCGAAATATCAAAATGTTTCCAACACAATAGTTAAGTCTTCAGTTACAAATAGAAATTTAGGGTCTGAAAGAAGTATTCAGAGAGAGACAGATTCAGAAGATTGAATTGAGGAGACTAGTGTGTTCCAACAAAACAGAGAAATGTGTACATATCCTTTAAAAATATTAGTAGTTTAAAACATATTTTAAAATCACAGTAATACCCTCAACCAAACATCGATATACAGTTTCTCATAAATGCATCCATAAGGACTTACCCTAGGCCTATTGGGAGCATTTGAGGTGTTAACCTAAACGAGGACCTTGGGTCCATAAGGTCTTACCCTAGCCGAAGCGTAGGTGTCCACTTGAGGGGTGCCCTCATGCCCATAAAGACTTACCCAAAGCACACAGCAAAATAGCCACCCTAAGGGAGTACCTTAGGATCCATAAGGTCTTACCATTAGGTCCATTTGGCCCAAAAGGCCACCCAAGGGTCGCCTTAGGTTCATCAGGAATTGCCAGCTTGATCAGTGTTGAACATGCATAAGGAATTACCAGCTTGATCGGAGCTGAACCTACATACTCCAGAATCATACTCAAACAGTATCCCAATAATTGATTCATACAGTAAATAATAGATTCCATGATCCATAAATCAGGAACAATTATATTTTCTAGTGAAAACAATAACTAGAGAACATATATCATATAACCATAATTTATAAACAATAAAAGACATTAGTAAATCCAAAATTTTAGAAAATCACATTTTCATTGGATTTAAGAAATATTTTATTTATCTCACATTAACTACAGTAGTTTAGCCTAAATGGCTAAGGCTTAGATTTGGTTTCCCATGTTGAAATACGTGGGTTCATATCTCACAACCTACATTTTTTAATTATTTCTTTTAAGTCTAATGGGTTATTTTGGGTTCAAGGGCTTTGATTAACTAGAAAATTAGGAATGAATCCTTAAAGTTCAAATCTATGCAGTTTGGTCCCACAATTAAAGTTTAATAAATAAAATTTTATTTTAATTTGAAAAAATCAGGGTGTGACATTGAATCATTACAAAATGGTCACTACATGTTACAAAATAGTGATAAATTTTGATAAGTTCAAGGATTATTTTGTGATAGTTTGATATCTTTAATTACCATTTTACATCACTCCTGCTTTATACACCATCCAAATAAAATGTTCACAATAGGAGGCATTAGGAACAAGATTTTCAATCACACTGGCCTAGGAAAAGCACCATATATTGAAGATAGCAAGGTTTGTGTGTGTGTGGGGGGGGGGGGGAATAATCACTCTTCACCCCCACAACAATACCATACCAAGTACTTCTTTATAGGCGTCACTTGGTACGTCTAAATCTACAATTTCTGCGGACATGTTATCGGATTATTCATTTTTTTATATCTTCAACTCCACGGCATCTTTTGATCCTTACTTGTGGATGAAACCATCTTTAGGGTTATATAAAATGCTTCACCACTCACCTTATAAGTGGTATCAGAAGGTACTCCGCATAAAATAGCTGCAAGGAGAAAGTAATTCGTTATTTAAAAAATGAACAGAAGTTTCAAGCATTTTTATTCGATGAACAGAACATCGAAGAACTCGGTATACATATGATAGTCTCAATCAAATTGCTCGAGCTTCTAATTTTGGATATGATAGAGAAATAGAACACAAACATGGCATGCTTAATAAGCATACGGCACTGGTCGTTTAAACATGATTAACACAGATTTTGACACGATGTTGAAGCTAGATGCCCCAAAACCAATCCATCACTAATTAAGACCAACAAAAACATTAACATGAAGAATATACTTTTCTCAGACAAGCAAATGGAAAAATCGAACCCTGCATTCCATCATATGAATCCGATATCATCCACTTGATGAGGTTGGTCATATTTGCATGCAAGAAAGTAGCATAATCTTTTAGAAACAAATGTTTTCATAAGCCAAGATAGAGGATTACCTTCCATATGAACATATAACATGATGTTATTGCAGCTTTGCTCTTCAGATCAACCGATTTGGCACGGATCCATAAAATTGCAGCCAAGATGGAATGACCTAGAACCTAATTCCGTTTCAGGGAGAGACGATTGCATATCAGTCGCTGCTTAAATACTTGTTTAATGAATAAGACATAAGCAATCATCTATCAGAAAATTTACACAATGTTTTGCAATAAATAACTGATATAAAGGGTATCTTGGTTACATACAGTGATGGCTTTGCTCCAGGTGTAGGAAGATGTTGCTCCAACCAAAATAGAAACACCATATGCCATTTCAAGAAGTGAAATACAGGTCCAAAACACCTGAATAAGTAAAAGTAAGACGGTCACCGAATGATAAAATGGGAGAGCCATCGCGTACGGAATATTTATGGGCTACTCACCCGCTCTTGACCCAGACGTACTGTGTAAGATTTGATTCCAAATATCTTATCTCCTTCAATATCAGGTATATCCTTCGCAATATCCATCACAAACATAGAACGACGATTACCACTTTAATCATGCATTATTAAATGAATAGCTGGACAAAAATCAAATGCACATGAGAAGATACAGCAATTCATTAGTATGGAAAGCAACATTTACCTTAAAGAGCGCTATAACTACGGAGAAGAAGCTCATGAATGCAGTAGCAAAAATTAGAGGCTTCGAAAAGACAGCTGGTCTGCTGAATACATGACTCTGAAACATCACACAAAAATATTAAAGCACTTTAATTGATCAGACCACTAAGAAGAAACGTCAATGTTTCAGTAAGATATCCACAGGTGAACAGAGAGGCAAACATGCTTGTCAAAATTTAGTTTTGGACCATGATAGAACATTTTGGATTGAATGCAAGCCCCGTGTTGGGACCATAGTCACATGGATCGTGGTACGCTCGGTACGGGAACGTGAACGGGATCGCAATTCGCTAGGTCCCTAAAATTCGGTACGAGGGGGGTAGACTTATTTCGGATCGCTTCGGTACGATGTACCATATAAATTGGTACGATGTACCAGTTTCTTAGGTTGTTATTTTTCTACATCAAATTTTATAAGTAACTATAAATAGTAGGAATAAAATAAAAGAAATTAAAACTTCCTTAAATAACTGAAATAACACATAAAAACAGGGATTTAAACAGATATTTACCCTTAACCAGAAACAAATATAAAATTGAACAGGTAAAATTAGAAATAAATCAGTGACCTAAGTACAAAATGCGCATAAGTTACAGGGTCCTATATACAATTTATCAAATTCGATTTAATCTAAAATAATATGTAAAATAACATAAATGGTACCTAAGCATTTAAAACAAAATCAGAAAATTGGGACGAATTAGGGACCGTTTTATAAACATTCACTAAATTACGAGGCCTAAACATAATTTACCCTAAGAATACGGTGACTAAATCCGAATTTAACCGAAAACCTAACTAAAGGTATTAAAATACCCAAACTCAGCCGCCTCTCTCCAACTCTCCCTCTTTTTTTTTTAGGAACCCGTCTCTCCTATCTTCTTCATCCTCCTATCTTCTTCGACAGCATCATCGACAGCCGCCATGCCAAGGTTAGTTTCGCCTTGTTCATTATCTTCTTCAGCCTTAAACGACCCCTGTCGTTCCCCCATTTCCTCTCCCTCAAGCTCCTCTTTAACACTCGACGAAACCCAAAGCCTTCATGCCATCCGCCGTCCTACGTTCTGATGAGGAGCTAGGACTCCATCTAAACCCAAATCTCGTACCGAATCGCGATTTTGAAACGACTGGAACGCATTTGTACAGCGTTTCGGATCGCTTCGTACGGTACGCAGATTGTGGGCTGTTGAGCGATTTATGTGACTATGGTTGGGACTCGGGATTTGATTTCTCAAGGGAACCCTCTCATTCTAAAGTGACAAATTCAATGGTCCCATGGGCAAGTCTCAGATTGTAATTATCGGTATGCCCTTTAGAGACCAAGTTCAAGTATATTTAAGGATACTTCTGGAGTTCTCAAACATCAAAGTTGGAACTATTCTTTTCACACATTTTACAATATTTGATCAGTTGATTGTTAACTAACAGTTCTATCACTGTTTTAGTTGAACCAATACAAGCTAAGATAACTAGATCAATCCAGATGTAGTTATGTATATAATCAACGCATATCTCAATCTAGCAATCATGTATCTAACATGACACAGGAGAGAGAAAACAGATGGTGTTATTGAGTTTCAAGGAAGAATGGGAAAAGAAAGAAGCAAAAAGAAGAGAAAAAGCCACCTGTATGTGCAGATAAAAAGCAAGTTGAACAATCACAGCACGAACAGCTAGGATGCACATTGCTGCAACCAATGCAAACCTTTTCCATCGCAATAGTGGCAACTGAATTTACAGAAATTTTATGGTATCATGAAAAAGTTAAAATAAAAAATACTGTTAAATATCATTAAGTCAGACCATTGCAAAAAAAAAAAAAAAATTTGCGACTTGTTATAGCATCTGTATAGGGTTTTACGTGAAAAACTTTTTCTCTTTGCAAAGTTAAGAACTATGCTCGTATTAGTTTTGCTAGGAGGACAATTCTTTTATCTTTGTTGATGCAATTTATTTCTTATTCCCCTAGTTCAAGAAAACTTATGGATCGATTTTTTGGAGTGGAGGTGGCGCAGAGGAATAGTGACCTATGTAGGACAAAGCAAAGCAACTATGGCGATGGGAAGCCTAAAACTTCCACACCTATTCATTTTCCATCCCTACTCTGAATATAAAATTGTTCACAAAGTACTGTACTCATAATAGAAATATGCCTTATCTAGCAGCAATCCTGAGAAGGGTATTGTGCAGCTACTTGCAAAAACATTTGAAACAAAGAGGTGCAAGAACAAACTATACACACACTACCATAATGTATGATATAATTATTGCTTTACGTATCTATTTGATTGAAAACTCAAAGTTCAACTCACATTGACTGAATATGCAGTCCCAAGCACAAAACTGACAAAAAGAGCCCAAAATAATGGCCATGAACCAACAACCCATCCAAGCCAAAAGCTCTGAAAATAAAGGATATATAGCAAGCTCTTAGTTATGAATCCAAACTGGTCTGCTTAAACATTAAAAATAAATAACTAATAATTTGGATTATTGGTAAAAGGACTAGATAAATCTATAAATGAAGTAGTAGTTGTCAATAGTCCCTCCTTTTTCCAATTGAACAGGCTTTCCCTTTCAAGAGATGTCCAATTATTGTCCATTTTATTCTTTTTTGCCAATCCAAATATAAACAGTTCAAAATGGATATCTAATGTGCATATAATCACTGAAATGCAGGTACTTGCACTTCTCGACATTAAAGGCTTACTCATTTCAGTATATAGTACCCTTTGATGTTCTTCAAATGTATTTAAGAAAAAGTATTTCAATTTCCATGAGGACAATATGATTTTTTTTTCTTATACTGCACATTGCTTCTTATCATGAAAAGTTATATTCGCCACAGAAGATAAAGAATACTACAAGAACACTTTGGCATAGAGCAGATAGTGACTACCATGATGGAGAATGATGTGACAATCAAGATGCCAGTCAAAGTTGAATACTCCCCTGATGCTAATGGAAGATAAGGCTTGTTAACCTGAAACAGAACATATCTGGGGTTAGAAAATTCATATAATTTATTCATCCACTCTCATTTCTGGGATCATGATCCAAGTAAATTATGTAGGCACTTGTAGAACACGGAATAGAAGTTACTCCATGATATGCCTAAAAATGCATCTAGACTATTTGATCAGTTAAACACTGACAATAGGATATTCAAATAAAGCAAGATAGAGAAAGAAGAGTCCACCAAGATATAATGCATTCTTTCATTCTTATTTAAATACATGAACTTCTAGCAGTTGTATTTTCATATCAAGCTACCTTGTCAATCTCTATGTCGGACAACTGATTTAGACCAACAATATAAATATTCATCATAAGGGCAGCAACCACAGCCTGAAAAAATTATAATAGATATGTAAGCATTATAGCTACTAATTTACTAATAAATTTGTAAAAATGATACAGATGTCCAGCATGATCACCTCCAATACCCCAGTATAAAACGGGGAAGAAATATCCGATAACTTCTCAACAGCAAGAAGAGAAACAGAAACAATGCTGAGTGCCTAATAAGAGAAAGAAAATAAGCTCCAAAATATAAAAGCAAATACAAAAAAAAATGCAAATGAATTTACTTTTTATGACACCTAGATTACTGAAAGGTTTCAAATCCAAATATAATTTCTGTGTATCTATAATGAAACCAAAAACTTAACTGTTCCTATAACTGTGTGAGGCCGTGAAAACCTGTAAAAAGCATCCAATGCATTTTTAACAGAATTCCAAGGGGTATCGGGGTAAGCTCCAGGCTCAGATTCAAGAGGGTGACCAGAAGTGGCCTTCACCAGAAACTTTGTATTACTTTTCTGGGAGGCTGTAGATGTTTCCTGAATTCCTCTAGCATGGTGCTTGACAATATGTTTCCGAAACCTTTTGGTATAAAAGTTTTCTATGATATTATATGAATAGCATGTCGACACTTGCACTCGTCTGGAAAAACCTGCAGCCCAGGACTGAAATTAATAACAAGCAGATTATTGTGTGTGCATTGCGAATAGTGTGATTTCCAATCTCTCTTGTAACCTATTTGCCGAGATAGTGATTTTTCTTTCCTTCTACCCGAGATTTATGTCGTTTAGGATTTTTCACTTAAATCTGTATATTCTTGCTTTGTGATCTCATTTGTTTGCTCATCATTATCTTTCAAATTTCATTACATACACCAGTCTCCAGCTAAAATATTCAACTGTCGTTTTATAAATACATTAAGATCAATCAACAATCACTGGTAGTGTTTGACTTCAATTTTATTTTCTTAAATCTAAGTAGAACCTTCACCAATACACAATGTGAGGTCCTTAGAAAAAATTGGGCTTCAATAGTTTTTCCCCTTTAAAAAAACTATTTACGTTTTACTCTTTGCATTTTCTTCTGCCTTAATTTCTCCTTCGCTATAAAAACAAAGGAACAAAATTTTTCATTTCTTTATACTAAATTTGTATAAAAACCTTAAACATTACAGCAGTGGAACAAGTTCTAATTTTTTCTGCAAAATAGAAATATGCAAAAACAAGCCATAACACAAATCATGTGAAAGATTATAAAGGACAAAATAAAGCAGAAGAACACCTGGAATATTATCAGGCTTCAAGTCTTTTCTCCTCCAACTACTCCTTCCTAATTTGTGTTGATTCCATGAATAAAACAAAATAAAAATAAACAAATTAGCCCAAACTATAACAGGAAGGAAACGAAATGAAAAAAAAATCTCACATGATAATAATAATTTAATTAGCAAAAAAAACAAAAGAAACAAACCAGGGATGAACAAAGAATGTCCTCCAGTAGAGGACCCAAGAATCAAAGCATCCATCGGAAGTATCGAGAGCACCAAACCCCCTTCTTCACTCACACAATCGAATCAAAGGGGACAAAAGAAAAAGAAGCGGCTTTCACGAAAGGAGAAAAAGGGGGGTTCTGATTGGAGAGTAATTTCAGCTTAAGTAAACGAAAATGGGTTGACTGTGAATGGAAAGAGAAATCGATAATGGTTTGGCAACATAGGAAGAGACAACGGCCAATACGGTAGCGTAGCTCGTTAAAAGTCAAATAATGTTACGCACCAAATTAGGCAATGGTGTTTTGTTAAAGTAAAAAATTAGACACTTAATTTTTTATTAAAATTAGGTAACGAGATAATTAATTTTAGTCATTGTAATTTATGGTATTTATAAGATTAGTCCTTAAGTTTTTACTATAAATACCCTAGCTCATTTAGCTTCAAATCATACCAAAGCATTCTAGCTTTCTTTCAATACTAGAGAGAATTTAGAGAGTTTCTTGAGAATTGTTTTCTCCTTTTTATCAAGAGAGAATTATCATTGTTTTCTCCTTGGTAGATTGAGAGAAGTTGTAATTCCTATTTTCTCATAGTGAAATTCTTCTACCGTTGCCCGTGATTTTTACCCTATATTATTTAGGGGTTTTCCACGTAAATTTTGTGTCTATTTTATCTTTATATTTTATTTTCACAAATTATCAGTTGCGATTTTTCTCTATCCAATAGCCGTCTTCCGCAACAATTGGTATCAGAGCTAGATTAGAGTGTATAATATCTGCTTATTGTCTTTGTGGTTGCCACCAAAAGGTGGATCCTCCAGCATAAGAAAGTAAGAAGGTATTACACATTCTTTGAAGGTTTCAGAGAACTATTCACGATAGTGAAATAGTGGGAGCTATCCGTAATAAAAGCTATGGCAACGAAATTTGATGTTGAAAAATTTAATAGGAGAAATTTCTCATTGTGGAAATTGAAGATGAAGGTCATCCTGAGGAAAGACAGATGTCTAGCAGCTATCAGTGAAAGGCCAGTAGATTTTACAGATGACAACAAATGGATCGAAATAGACGGAAATGCTATGGCAAACTTTCATCTAGCATTAGCAGATGAAGTATTGTCAAGCATCGAGGAAAAGAAGATAGCTAAGGAGATATGGGATCATCTTACCAAATTGTACGAGGTCACATCGTTGCACAATAAAATTTTTCATAAGAAAGAAATTGTACACTCTCCGTATGCCAGAATCTACTTCAGTGACGGAGCACTTAAACACACTGAACACGTTATTTTCTTAACTTACATCCTTAAGATGTACAATAGGAGAACAAGAACGTGATGAACTTCTACTTCAAAGTCTACCTGATTCGTATCATCAACTCATCATCAACTTGACAAACAGTAATGTCACCAGTCTAGTCTTCAATGACGTTGCAGCTGTTGTTCTCCAAGAAGAAAATCGGCGCAAGAACAATGAAGATAGACAAGTAAATCTGCAACAAACAGAAGCATTGACAACGATGAGAGGGAGATCAACAGAACGTGACCAAAGCAGCAGTCACAAACATGGTAAATCGAAGTAGAGGAGCAAGAAGAATTTAAAGTGCTACAACTGTGGAAAGAAGGGTCAGTTGAAGAAGGATTGTTGGAGTCTAAATAAAAAACTCCAATCCACAAGATAATACCGTAAACACTTCAGATGATGGAGATGCTCTATGCTGTGAAGCGTCAACCACCGTGGAAGGAAGAAAAAGATTTACAGATATATGGCTCATTGATTCAGGAGCAACATATCACATGACCTCAAGAAGAGAATGGTTTCATCAATATGAACCTGTCTCAGGAGGATCTGTGTATAGTTGCAATGATCAGGCCTTAGAGATCATTGGCGTGGGAACCATCAAATTGAAGATGTATGATGGAAGAATTAAAGTTGTTCGAGATGTGCGACACGTGAAAGGCCTAAAGAAAAATTTATTATCCTACGGAATGTTGGATAATAATGCAAGCAAGATTGAAACACAGAAAGAAATCATGAAGGTGTTCCGTGGAGCGCTTGTGGTGCTGAAAGGCGAAAAGATAGCAACAAACTTGTACATGCTGAAGGGAGAGACTTTGCTAGAAGCAGAAGCCTATGTTGCCTCATGTAGTTCAGATTCTGCAATGCTATGGCATCAGAAACTTGGACACATGTCAGAACAAGGAATGAAAGTCCTTGTGGAGCAAAAGCTACTTCCCAGCTTAACAAAGGTATCACTTCCTTTGTGTGAGCATTGTATAACAAGTAAGCAGCACCGATTGAAATTCAACACGTCAAATTCTAGAGGCAAAAGTGTTCTAGAATTGGTTCACTCTGACGTATGGCAAGCACCAGTTACATCCCTAGGCGGAGCAAAATACTTTGTCTCATTTATTGATGACTACTCCAGGAGATGTTGGGTGTGCCCTATTAAGAAGAAGTCAGATGTGTTTTTAACTTTCAAAAACTTCAAAGCGCGGGTGGAACTTGATTCTGGAAATAAGATCAAGTGTTTCATAACAGATAATGGAGGAGAATACACAAGCGAAGAATTTGATGACTTTTGCAGGAAAGAATACATTAAAGACAGTTCACAGTGGCGAACACTCCTCAACAAAATGGAGTGACAGAGAGGATGAACAGAACCTTGTTAGAAAGAACAAGAGCAATGTTAAGGGATGCATGCCTAGAAAAATCATTCTGGGCAGAAGCAGTCAATACCGCCTGTTATTTGATGAATCGAGCTCCATCAACTGCAATAGAGCTGAAGACACCAATGGAGATGTGGACTGGTAAACCAGCTGATTATTCAAACCTCCATATATTTGGAAGTATTGTGTACGTGATGTATAACTCCCAAGAAATCTCAAAGCTGGATCCAAAATTCAGGAAATGCAAATTCTTGGGGTATGCTAATGGAGTAAAGGGGTATCGCTTGTGGGATCCCACTACCCGCAAAGTGATCATCAGTAGGGATGTCATCTTTGTAGAAGATAAGCTACAAAGAAAAGAAGACGATGATAGCACTGAAAAGTCAGAGACTACACAGATACATGTGGAAAAAGAGGTTGAACAAAGAGATTATTCTAAAGCAGAACCAGCACATGATGAACAAGAACCAGAGAGTTCTGAAGCTCCAATAACTCGTCAATCAGATCGTGTGAGAAGACATCCCAATTGGCACTCAGATTATGTTATAGAAGGAAATATTGCATACTTCCTTTTAACAGAGGACGGTGAGCCATCAACATACCATGAGGCAATAAAAAGCTCAGATGTTTCACTGTGGATGATGGCGATGCAAGAAGAAATCGAATCCCTTCATAAAAATAATACATGGGACCTTGTGCCATTACCACAAGGAAGGAAGCCAATTGGTAACAAATGGTTCTTCAAAATCAAGCGAAATGGTGACGATCAAGTTGAGAGGTATCGTGCAAGACTGGTGGTCAAAGGATATGCTCAAAAAGGTATTGATTTCAATGAAATATTTTCTCCTGTGGTTCGACTAACAACAGTTCGAGTTGTTTTGGCAATGTGTGCTACATTGAACTTACATCTAGAGCAGCTAGATGTTAAAACGGCTTTTCTTCATGGAATTCTTGAAGAAGAGATTTACATGCTCCAGCCTGAAGGTTTTGAAGAAAAAAAAAAGAAGAACTTGGTTTGCAGGTTGAACAAATCTCTGTACGGTCTAAAGCAGGCGCCGAGGTGTTGGTATAAGAGATTTGATTCCTTCATTATGTGCCTTGGATACAACAGACTTAACGCAAACCCTTGTGCTTATTTCAAGAGGTCTGGTGATAACGATTTTGTTATATTGCTGTTGTATGTAGATGACATGTTGGCTGCAAGACCCAACAAAGATCATATTGAAGAATTAAAGGCACAACTGGCTAGGGAATTTGAAATGAAGGACTTGGGATCAGCAAACAAGATTCTAGGGATGCAAATTCACCGAGACAGAAGTAATAGGAAGATTTGGCTTTCACAAAAGAATTACTTGAAGAAGATCTTGTCAAGATTCAACATGCAAGATTGTAAGCCAATTTCTACCCCTCTTCCTATTAACTTCGAATTATCCTCCAGTATGAGTCGTAGTAGTAAATAAGAGATGATGGAGATGTCTCGAGTGCCGTATGCATCAGCAGTGGGAAGTTTAATGTTCGCTATGATATGCACAAGACCAGACATTACACAAGCAGTGGGAGTGGTTAGTCGGTACATGGCGAATCCAGGAAAAGAGCATTGGAATATTGTAAAGAGGATCCTAAGATACATCAAAGGGACCTCAAATATTGCATTATGTTACGGAGGATCAAACTTACTAATCAATGGTTATGTAGATTCTGACTATGCAGTATGTGTTCAAAATTGTTGATGGAGCTGTAAGATGGGTTTCAAAATTGCAGTAATTGTGGCTACGTCCACAACAGAGGCAGAATATGTAGCAGCTACACAAGCCAGTAAAGAAGCAATTTGGTTGAAGATGTTATTGGAGGAGCTTGGGCACAATCAAGAGTATGTCTCTCTGTTTTGTGACAGTCAAAGCGCCTTGCATCTAGCAAGGAATCCAGCATTTCATTCAAGGACAAAGCACATACGAGTTCAGTACCATTTTATTCGTGAAAAGGTGGAAGAAGGAACGGTAGATATGCAGAAGATCCATACGAAAGATAACATAGCAGATTTCATGATGAAGACAATCAATGCTGATAAATTTACCTGGTGTCGATCCTCCTGTGGCCTGTTAGAAACGTAAGCAACATGAAGGTACAAGGTAGAAAGAATGGTGTGAAGATATGATTATTTCAATCAAATCTTCAAGTGGGAGATTGTTAAAAGTCAAATAATGTTAGGCACCAAATGGTGCTTTGTCAAAGTCAAAAATTAGGCACCTAATTTTTTGTTAAAATTGGGTAATGGGATAATTAATTTTAGTCATTGTAATTTAGGGTATTTATAAGATTAGTCCTTAAGTTTCAACTATAAATACCCTAGCTCATTTAGCTTCAAAATCATCCCAAAGCATTCTAGCTTTCTTCCAATACTAGAGAGAATTTAGAGAGTTTCTTGAGAGTTGTTTTCTCCTTTTTATCAAGAGAGAATTATCATTGTTTTCTCCTTGGTAGATTGAGAGAAGTTGTAATTCCTATTTTCTCATAGTGAAATTCTTCTACCGTTGCCCGTGGTTTTTATCCTATATTATTTAGGAGTTTTCCACGTAAATTTTGTGTCTCTTTCATCTTCATATTTTATTTTCTCAAATTATCAGTTGCGATTTTGCTCTATCCGATAGTCGTCTTCCGCAACATAACTGCCCTCGACTCGTCCTATTGTACACAAACGGGAAAGCTCAGTAACTGCAGTGGACCTCAGTTGCACGTTTAACTAGACTCTCATGCTATTATTCTCTACCCCAAATCCTGTTGTCATTATGTATGGATTTCATACGTTTTTATTTTGTCTTGATCCGATAAACATTTCGGTTATGAATTTGATTTATACGTTGGTGTTAAATTTAAAAAAAGAAAAAACTTCCATAAATGCTTAATTAATTAATTAATTTTGTAGAGCATTTCTTCAATATTTTAAATCTTTGAATCATCCAAGAGATTGTGTGTTTAAATTTCGATATAAGAGTTTAAAATATTATGAATTATTTAAATGTCATATAAAACCTGACATATTAAATATTATTACAATATTAAAATGAAGGAACACAATATTGTCAAAATGTAAGCCCAAATCTAACTTGATCTGTAGTTAGGGATGGCAAAAAAATTCGAATCCGACGGGGAAAATCGAAAACCGAATTTAACAGGTCGGGTTCGGGGATGATAAACGGGGACGGGAAAAGCCTGTTTATGTTAAACGGGGACGGGGACGGGTTTGGTAATCTCCGCCCTGATTACCCGATTACCCAGCCCGATACTCGACCCGATAAATATTAAAAATAATAATTATTTTTTATATATAATATTAATAACATATTTTAAATTAAACCTTAAATATTTTTTATTATTTTTTTCACCCCATACTGCCCTTACTTTAAAACATCGTCCCCGCTTCAATTTCTAGAATTTACCTCAATTTTCGCTATCTCATAATATTCTTTTTTTCTTTTAATAGTGAAAATAGTGCTTAAACTTCTTGTTTGCAATCACGTGTGAACCTTTAATATCTTTTAATAGACAAACATTGTTTTAGTTAAATGAGAAAAGTCTGGTTGGTTTGTTGGTATTTTGCCACTTCCAACGAACGTGTACTTGCTGTAGGGTCCTCGTCCAGTACACCATTACACACCTGAAGCCCACCACTAGCATTGGCAAGCTGGAAATTATGTCTACCAGAATTTAAAATCAATGCAACTTGCATATTGTCTTCGTCTCTTCGACAACAACCCTCATTTTCACCTCGCATTTCAATAACCTCATACAAGTTGTCTCCATTACACAAGCTTTAACGTTCATCTGACAAAGCGAAACATGTGAATTAGCCATATTAAAATCAGCCTCGGGACCTATACCAACATCACGTTCTTCCCTAGCAAATGGAACAGCAGTTGCTCTCTAGTATTAAATTCAAAAATTCTAAAAAATTTCGATTAATTCAAAAATTAACCGAATTAACCGAAATTTATTCGGTTCGGTTAATATTTTCGAAAAAAAAAATTGGTTCGATTAACGGTTAAAGAAAAAAAATCGGTTAATTCGGTTAATGATAGTTCGGTCGGTTCGGCCATCGAATTAACCGAATGAACAACCCTACTGATACCCGTTTAAATAAACGTTTATGCTAAACGGAGATACCCGTTTCCCAGCGGTTTTCTCCGATTACCCGATGGAGATTCCCGTTTAAATTCCCGCGGTTTTTTAAACGGGGACGAATACCGGTTTTTTAAACAGGAACGGAGACGAGGATGGTGGACCAATACCCGGCCCGAATTCGGCTCGTTATCATCCCTATCTGTAGTGTCACTCGCGAAGAGAGAGAGAGAGAGAAAAAATATCTGGTCAGCATTTTTGACATTTGTTCCTCACTAAAAATTGCTTTTTTCTGTTTATAGGGAGACGGCAAGGTTACTTTTTTATACACATTTTTGGCCATTTCCGTATATTCCTTCTTCATTGCAGGTAAGCGCTCAGCAGTTAGCACATGACAATTAGTAGTTTTATTCATAATTTAATCCTTCAATTATTCCGTTTTCTCATTTTAATATCTATATATATATTCCCAATTAAAATTAAAATTAAAATTTAGTGATTGTTTGATAAAAAAGCGGAAGAGATGGTTTTTTTTTTTTTAATTCTCACGTGTAAAAGTAAATCATTATGATTTGGCAATAGAAGAGGAAGAAGAATATGAGAAGGGATGATGTTACGCTCCACGAATAAGGATAAATACCGTTAATAATGAATATCATTAAATTAATTTATAAAAATTTAAATTATAAAATATAAAATATATAATTATAAATTAGTTAAAAATTTAAATGTAATTTAATTAAAATATAATATTTATAAAATATTAGTTTTAGGGTAAACTATACAATTGACCACATAACTATTTACCCCTTTTACTTTAACCACCGAATTTTTAATTTTGTCAATCAGGTCACCTAACTATTTAAATTTTGTCAATCAAGCCATATGTAGTTAAATATTAACGGAAGAGATGATGTGGCAGTTAATAAAATTTATATAATTACACATTCAGTCCTCATTACTTACACATTCTATTAATTTGGTCCTAACTTTTTTTTAATTCAATAAATTTAATCCTCAATCCGTTGGTGACATATGTCACCATGTAATTGGATTTTTTAAATATTTTTTATTTAATAAAATTTTCATCTAATCAAATGGCACCACGTGTCACCAATGGAATGAATTGAAATAATATTTTTATTAATATGATATTTATTTATTAAATAATTTTATATTTTAAATTTGTACAATCCCTCTTACACTACCTAACCACAATTTAGAAAAAAATAATCAATAATGAATATTTACAACTAAAAGTCTAAAATTAATTGTACGAACCAAGCTACCTTGGTGGTAAGATAATTGTTATTATAATTTGAGGTCATAAGTTTGAGTACCATGAATACTAAGGATATAGTTATTGAGATTTTGAGATTAGATGTTATCATATCTCATTCATTAGGTTAACATTCAACTTAAACAACCATCAATTTTTAACAAATAATGACAAGTTCAGAACACCTAAATAATCAAGTGATTATTTTATAACTTTTAATAATTGAGATACTCTACAAAGTATCACCCTACATTTGGGGACCATTTGTGTAATTTATCCTAAAATTTTAATTTTAATTTCCTCTAAAATGTAAGTCATGGAATTGCATGTAAACAAAAAGTTGATCAAAAGAATTTTTATCTTACTAGAACTAAAACACAGGCATGTGCATGTCTAAAACAAAACAAAAATACAGGCAGGGCGGGCCTGAAAATGGTCCAACCTCTATTAGTCCTACTTAAACCACAGGATCTTGCCTGCACGATAATGTTTTTATTTTTCGTAGGGAAGTTATTGGATTTGAATTTAGAAGGCGTACTCTAGGATCAGTGGTTTACAAATTTTTGCAGTGTGGCTCTAAACAAAATATTTTTATACATGTGAATATGAAATGCCGATGTTGCTATCGTTCAACCCAACCGACTTAAAAGTATCGTGGCGTATGTAGAATGTACGGTTTCGGTTAAGGTAAGTATTTGATCTAATCAAATAAAAAAAATAGATTTATTGAGTTGATGAGTTATATTTTATAACTCAAACAATTTTTGAGTCGAGTCGAGTTATTTGAATTTATATTTAAATTTAGTTATAAATATTTATAATTTTATGTTATTATTTAATTTAATTTAAACAATTTTCTAAAATTATATACAATACTCGGACAAAAATAAAAATAAATAAATATGAGTGTATAAAAAATGAATAATAAAAAGAGATAAAACTATTAGAAAAATCACTGAAAATAAAACACCTTAACAATAATGTAACTGTAATAAGTTAATTGACATGTAAATAAATCGAACACAGAGTATAAGATGCAAGTCCAATCGGATATTAGCCGAAGCTAGAGGTCCATTTTGGACCAATTCAAGTGCTGAACCGTTTGGGTCACTATCAATGTTTGAATATTTGGGTCTACATATTAAAATTCAGTTGGATTTGTGACCATATTTATAAAGAGACCCAACTTGGGTTCAGGCTAAAATCATGAGAGGTTCGGGAATAGAGACCATTAAATTATTTAGATTTAAAGATTTTAATTTGATTTAATTATATGTTATAAGTATTTTAATATATTCGAGATAAGTTTTATAAAACTAAAATTCCAAATCGAATCGAAATGAAATGAAATGAAATTTAGAATAAAAAAATGTTTAATCTAATCTAACCTTAATAACTATTATAATATCTCTATACATATATTTAATGATAATTATTATAAAATTCATTCTTTTATGTATGTTTCAATTATCTCTTTCACATTATTGAATAAAAAAATTTATATTAAATTGAAGGTAAATTTTACTTTAAGATGAATTCGAAACAGATGAAATATAATTAAATATCAGAATAAATCGAAATGAAGATGATAGAGAATTAAATTGTGTTAAATTTATATATATATAAAAAAACTAAATTAGTTTTACATTTAGTTGTACGTCCTACACAATATTTCATATTGTACCTATTTATGGATTATGTAATGATACCACTTCAAATGAAAAAGGGAAAAAACATAAATTTTCAGACTGATATATTATATTTAGTTTATGTAAGTTAAAGAACATGCGTATAATGTTGATCAACGTAACCTTAACCTTGAAACACCAAGACGGAAGGAAGAAAAATGCAAGGGACTGCAACCGTAATGTCCTTCAACCGATGAGCCCCTCGATGGACTCGGTGATCCATTCGAGAAAGAGAACGAAGATGAAGACGAAGAGCTCGATATCCGCGGCGGCGACGCCATGAAATCCCCGTCGTCGGAGCTGCTCATCTCACAACTCGAGCAATACTTATCGGTCTGATCAAGCCTCTTGCTGTTGTTACCCTGGCTTCTTTTTCCTTGTTTCCAAAACTTGAACACCCTTAGTTTGAAAGGCTTAGGGTCGTCGACGATGTCGATTCGAGGTTTAGGTAAGCCGAGGCTAAGCACCGCCGGAGGCTGACTGATCGGCGGGAGGGTATCTTCCTTTTGAGGTTCCTTCGGTGTGACGGGCTGCATTTCCCAGTTAAAAGGTATCCCTTCGGAGCTCCGGTAGTAATATATCCGAGAAGAGTAGCCGACCGAAGAGTTTCTTGAGATGATTCTATTGGAGAACTTTTCCTCACCGGAAGAAAATCCTCTACGGCGAACGTTATCCATTTTCTTTTCACGTAATTCGTTGGTGTTTGTTTGGATTAAGAAAAGTGGCGTTTGAAACAATATCGGAAAGCTAGCTTTTTAGAGATGATAATGATTGAGTGCATATGTACAGACATATATAATATGAGGGTAGGGAATTATCAATTCTTATATTATCTATAAAAAAAACTTCATATAAATATATAGGGGATTCATCAAACTTAATACATCACAGTTATCCAGTCCTTGTCACGTGTCTTTTTAGTGACTCAAATACTTTTGAAATAGACAAGCAAAAGATTAAAAAGAGAAGATAATCTCTTTAATCGTAAGGGGTGTTTTGTATAGCACGTGCTCTTACTAAAGCCTTAAGACATGACCCAACTTTTCTTTCTATTTACTCCTCCAATTTGTTCCTTAATGACTAAATTTCCATCTTAGAACGGTAATCTTTTCCGGGATTTAAAGAATAATTGTAATATGATATTAGATATGAATGTTAGTATTTGACAATTTATTTTCTTTTTAATTTTTTATAATTATTTATATTCGTGACTTTTGATTATATGAAAATGTTTGATTATTGTTAACTTGTTTACTAAAACACTATAGAAAATAAGAAATTAGATATAATGGTGGCACGATAGCATGAATTTGAAAATTCCTCCAAGGTCACATATTGTCTGAAAATGAAGGATGAAGTTAGGCCAGACTTGTAGTAGGAGTACTGTAGAGGAAACAAAATTGCCGGGTAGCCGGAGCAAATGGAGGGCCTTTCTCATGGCTAAGGAACCAACCTTTTTGGGGGAAGAGCTTAGAGATTGATTCATTGTACACGGCAAGTATATAGTTGACTTTTCAGGTTTTTGTTCTGCCATACATTTGATGCCTGATTAAACAAACCAGCTCTACTTGTGTTATTGTACTAATGTGAAGATGGAAATGCTATGGTTAATCCAATAATTGAAGTCTGATTTTTTTTAATTACCGATTTCTAATCTATGTAGCGATTATTTTAGTTTAAATTTAGTAAAAATCAATCATAACGGCGATTATTTCAATACAATTTATTTTAGGGTAAAGTATTAAATGGTCATTGAACTTTTCAGATGCTTATATTTAGGTCCCTCAACTTTTAAAACTTACAATACAGTCACCAAACATTTAGTTCGTTTGCAATATGATCCCCGCGTAACGGCCGTTTCACTGCCGTTAAGGTAAATTATATAAATGATCACTGCACTTTTCAGGCGCTTGCATTTAGGTCACCTCAACTTTTAAAACTTGCAACACAGTCATTAATTACATTCTAAACCCCAAAATCCAAAATGTTTCAATTACATTCTAAACCTCAAATTCTAAAATACTTCAATTACATGCCCAACCCCAAATTCAAAATCCATTCTCAAAATATGTCATAACAAACTAAACTTAAAGCAGCAACCCTAAACCCTCAAAACATAACTGAATTTTATAAACTCAAATCGAAAATTTTTTGAGTGACCATATTACAAATGAACTAAATGTTTCGTGACTATATTGCAAGTTTTAAAAGTTAGGTACCTAAATGCAAGCATCTAAAAAATTCAATGACCATTTATATACTTTACCCTTTATTTTATTTATAACAAAATGTAAAAATTCAAAATGTTAGGATTCAGACTTTATCATCTCATTACATCAATTGACTGTTTATGATATATATTCTATTTAATCAAAGAATGGCTAACTTGCCTGGATATAAAGGATATGTACAAAGTAGGGGTGATTATCGAGTGAGCCAATCGCGATTTGGGAAGTACTTGATTCGTGCTCGTTAAAAAATTTTGTTGCTCGTTAAGCTCATTAAAATTTTGCTCGACTCATGCTTGTTAAAAAAACTTGTTGCTCAACTCGACTTGTTGTTCGTTAAGCTTGTTAAACTCACTAAATTTAAGATTAAAACATATTAGGGCTCAGAAATCTAAAATAGTTAGTGAACCTGCTCAGTTTGCCTACAATTCTCATATTTAAAATAAAAGTTTGATACATAATTTTTCCTCTTCATCACATTTTCAAACAAGGTCATGAGTTAGATGGATTTTCGATATCTTTCTAGACATTAGAAGATTTCGAGGTTATTTAATAAAAGTCTCTACATTCGAATTTTTAAAATATATATCATAAGAATCATAGGATTTTTCGGGCTTTGCAAAATTCCTTAAATCTCTCTTGGACGTTAGAGAGCTTAAGGCATTTTAAAGAGTCGTAAATTATGACTTTGAGCATAGTCTATTAACATCGGAGTGTTTTCTAGAGTGAGGCGAAGTTTTCAATATTTTTCAATATGTTGAAAAATATTCGAAATTGCCCATCATGGATTTCACCTTAAAATGTTGAATATAAATTAATATAAGAATTTTGTAGGTTCTTGATAGTAATTTTGGGTTCTCTTAACTGTTAGGGGATCCAAGATTATATTTAAAAAATTTAAATTCTATATTAACCTAAATAATACATTCACTACATCCATGAGTCTAAACAAAAATATTTGTGATCAAATAAGAATCATTTTTACGGGCGTGGTGAGGGTGCTAATCCTTCCTCATGTAATTGCACCTTCACACAATCTTAAACATTTTGGTGACCAAATCACACCTAAATTGATTGGTGGTTACTCATAAATATTTTAAAAGTACAAAAACTAATTTTTTATTCATTAGGGTAAAAATTGATGTGTACAAAAAGCTTCAATAAGCATTGGATGCTTACATCAACTTATGTGACATCAAGGCTCTAAGCATAGATTCTATCGAAGCACGGTTAGGAACTGTGTAGCTCATTGGTCTGAGACCAAGCTTACTTGATGTCAGACGTCATTCATGATGACAGATCTTGCACCAATAGTGAAATCAATAAGCTTAATAACCACAACTATGGTTATTGACAGACTTGCATAGAATCCTACCTATAAGATTAGGATTTGTGCCAAATAGTTGTTGATAGTGGTACAACTCCTCCATCGAATGAAAATGTCAAAGCCTTGAGAAAATGGAACATCAAGGCCGAAAAAAATTTAATTATATTGAAAATTACAATCGATGAGGACCTATTGAAGCACATCCGTAACGAAAAAACATCGAAGGCAACCTAGGAAACTTTGAAAAAATGTTTTCAAAAAGGAATGAAGCATGCCTCTAGCTCTTGAAAAATGAACTTGCAGGTATCTCACAAGGAACCTAACTATTTCTCAATATTTCATCGAGGTGAAATCTTTTTGTCGTGAAATATCACAATTTGCCCCTGAAGAGAATGTGAGTGAGGCAAGGATGAAGAGAATTGTCATCAATGGTCTAAGGCCCGAGTATAACGGGTTTATAGCCCCTATGAGGGGATGGCCTACTCAACCATCATTGGTAGAGTTGAAGAATTTATTGGCTAATTAAGAGGCATTAGTCAAATAAATGAATAGAGTAACCATAAAAGACGAAAAAGGATGCACTCGGAAAGCTTCATATCAAAGAAAATAAATGACAAAAAAAAGGTGAAGACTCGACCAGATGACTCCATTGAAAGGAATAAAGCTCAATTTGTTGCTCGATGTTTCTCTCAACAATATAGGCTATATTATGAAGAAGCATTTAGCCTGGTGGCAAAGATCACAACAATTGCATGGTATGGAAAGATCGGTAAGTTCTTAATACAAAATGGTTTCACAATTGCTCTTTCATATTCTAGTTTATTTGTGAAAGAAAATCAAGGAAAACTAGCCATAATGTAGTATATGTCGATGACTTAATCATCAGGAGGATCATTGTGAGAAAATTCAAAGAACAAAGGAAAACCTTTCTATCAAATTTTATATGAAGAAGCTTGGAGAACTTAAATATTTTCTTGGACTCGAAGTAGGGCACACAAAGGAAGAATTATTTTTGGGATAATAAAAATATGATAAGGATCTTTTACATAAGTATGAGATGCTTAACTGCAAACTCATCTCAACTCCTATGGATCTTAATATAAAATTAGGGGCAGATGAAGAAAAAAATTTAAAAGATGTTATCATGTATCGAGAATTGATCGGAAGTCTTATTTATCTCACACTAAGCCGACCAAACATAATTTATATAGTTAAAGTAGCTAGTCGATACATGATACACGATGGTCAACAATTGGGTATGTTTTTAGTCTTGGATCAGGAACAATATCATGGAGTAGTAAGAGACAACCAACAATATCATTATCAAGCACCGAAGCAAAATATCGATCTGTAACATCAATGACATAAGAAAATACTTGGTTGAAACAACTAATAGAAGCCCTTCATCAATCAGCAGATTATCAAGTAAGGGTTCTATGCGATAATTTATTAGTCATACGTTTAGTAGAGAATCAAGTTTTTCATCCAAGGACAAAACATATAGAAGTTCACTATCACTACATTCATGAGAAGATCCTTGAATGAGATATTAAGATTGTGCCAACAAAGACAGATGAACAAGTTGTTGATATATTCACAAAGAGTTTGAGTAGACCAAAGTTTGAAAAATCCTGAGAAGCACTCGAAATGGTCTGCAAATCATCTATGAAAGAAGTTTGCATTGAGGGGGAGTATTAAGATCCAATGCAACTTCTAGATAAATATATGATTATCATAGAGATATATCTTAGTAATATTCTAGATTAATATAGAAAAAGTACATATATATAAAAATATTCATAAAATAATCTAGATATTTGTAATATTTAATATTATATCTAGAGTGAAAAAGAGGGGGGAAAGTATCAAAAGTGTGAGTTATAGATAGAGAAGAGAAAAGTAGTAGGGTAAGGGTGTAATATTATAATTGTGTTTTCTATTAATAAAAGTAGTTAAATACTTGACCTTAATGCTTAAAAAATGCTGGTTCTTTATTTAAAAAAAAGGAGCATTTTGACACAATTAAGTGTATTTAATCTTAACTATACGGCAATTGAACCAACCCTATATAGAACAAAAAAAATGAAAAATAGATTCACTTATCATGCATAGAACCCCTATA